GAGAGAGAGAGAGAGAGAGAGAGAGAGAGAGAGAGAGAGGGAGAGTGCATGCATGAAGGAGACAGGGAGGGAGAGAGAGACAGAGAGGGAGAGTCAGAGAGGGAGAGGGATGACAGTCACCCACCTTGGATGAGAAGACTGAATATGGGTTGTTGAACTCTGCGCTGGTGAACGCTTGGTGGCCGGAACTCCGAAACTGTTTAATATGATAATTTGTTGAACTTTCTAAGCTGCGCTATTCTGGACTTTGCATCTCTGGACTCCACTGTGGATCTCGTGTGATCTCTCAATGTCTGTGTGTATGCTCAAGGTGACGAGCAGAGAGAGGCTCGATGCAAAGCAGACTATGGCTGTGCTGGACCTCTGTTATACCAAGCAGTGGAAGAGGGATTCGGACATTGATTCTGGTTCAGCCATCCCAGAAATTAACATCAGTCCTTAGCCTTCGATGGCTCAGCAATGATACCATTGGTTAAGCAGCCACAGTACTCCAGTCTCGTTTAGTTAAGACGAATGACGTCATATAATCATTCTACAACTGACTGCATACAAGCCAACAACGAAGAAAGAATACTCCCGCAGCATGCTTGTGCAGGGCCTCTCCTCTCAAAACTGCCCAGTATGCATCCCTCTCTTTATCTTCGTCTTCTTCTTCTTTGAATTTTCCTTCTCCGTCTTCATTTTCTTTGTATTCTTCTTCTTCGTCATCGTCCTCGTCATCATCTTCGATTTTAATTCTTCCTATCCGTCAACTTTCACCCTCAGTTATTTTCCTCTCTCTGACTCAGTGACATTTCTCCCATCCACTCACCGATTCCGAAGGCTGTGCTTCCATGTACTTTATAAGAGTCGACATTATCCGCCACCCTATGTTCATGGCCTTCCCATCAGAACGTGATCTGTGTGTGCGAGGATGCTGCATTCCACATGAGCCCATAACCACCACAAAAAGGCGTTAGAGAAGGGCCTCGCTGCCTACACCAAGTTTCTTGCTCAGCTCAGACAAGAGAACCATTTCTGCAGCCTTGTGGTATTTCCTCACCATGGGGCACAATCACCTGACCCCAAAGGTACAATGTTGTGGGGTAGTAAACATCAGAACCCAACCCAGCAATACACACCAGACCGCCGTGGTGCAATATACAGCCTGCTGTCATTCCACCCACAAGCATAGGGTAAAATTGAAAGAGAACAGAGGATAATCAAAAACAAGCGAAAAAAAGAGCATTGAATAGAAAACGGAAAAAACTCTCTCTCTCTCTCTCTCTCTCTCTCTCTCTCTCTCTCTCTCTCTCTCTCTCTCTCTCTCTCTCTCTCTCTCTCTCTCTC